CTAATTTTAATCATTTATAAAAAGAAATACAATTTAAACGCACTATAAATAAGCAATGCAAAAAAAATATATATATCAAGAGTGTACCAGGTGGCTGACTCACGCCGCGCACTTTCGTAATTATACTGTACCACATGCAGGAGTGCGGGCGGGTTGCCTACTCGGGCGGGGCCCTACGGAGCCGTGGGCAGCGAGGATAGGCAAACCTGCGTGCACCCCTGCATCCGTACAGTATAACTACGAAAGTGCGCGGCGTGAGTCAGCCACCCGGTACACACATTGTTCAAACCACGTGCCGGTACCTATAACAATAAGTGCCTCCGGAGGTGGGCCATCATGTTGCCCGGCTGGGCGAATGTCTTGCCGCACTCGGTGCACTTGTACGGCTTCTCCCCGGTGTGGGTGCGGTGATGCACATTCAGCGTACTGCTGTGTGCAAACTGCTTGCGGCACACGCCGCACTCGAAGGGCTTCTCTCCCGTGTGCTTGCGGAGATGTATCCGCAGATGGCTGGCGCTGCCACACTTGGCGTCGCACTCCGTGCACTCGTAGCCATACCTGCGCTCCCCGGTGTGGACCCGGAGATGTGAGCGCAGGTTCCACGTCAGACTGAATCTCTTGCCGCAGACGGTGCACTCATGTGGCTTCTCTCCGCTGTGGGTGAGGCGGTGAGCAGCTAGACCGCCACTCGTGACAAACTTCCTGCCGCACTCGGTGCACTCGTAGGGCTTCTCTCCCGTGTGGGCCCGGCGGATGTGCACACTCAGCGTACTAAAGGTCGAGAACTTGTTGCGGCACACGCTGCACTCGAACGGCCTCTCCCCCGTGTGACTTCGGAGATGTGTCCGCAGCTGGACAGCGTCCAAAAACTTCTTGTGGCACTCCGTGCACTCGAACTCCTTCTCTCCGGTGTGGACCTTAAAATGATAGCGCAGACCTTTCTGGCTCCTAAATCTCTTGCCGCACACGCTGCACTCATGTGGCTTCTCTCCGCTGTGGGTGCGGCGGTGAGCAGCTAGATCGCCACTCGTGACACACTTCTTGCCGCATTCGTTGCACTCGTAGGGCTTCTCTCTTGTGTGGGCCCGGCGGGTGTGCACACTCAGCCCAACACTCTGTGCAAACTTCTTGTGGCACACGCCGCACTCGAAGGGCTTCTCTCCCGTGTGAGCTCGGAGATGTGACCGCAGGTGGGCGGCTTGCACAAACTTCGCGTCGCACTCCGTGCACTCGAACCTCCTCTCTCCGGTGTGAAACAGAAGATGTGTGTTGAGCGTCCCCTTTTCCCTGAATCTCTTGCTGCACAAGGTGCACTCGAAGGGCTTCTCTCCGGTGTGGCCGCGGAGGTGAGCAGCTAGAGAGTTAGGGGCTGCAAACTTCTTGTGGCACTCGGTGCACTCGTAAGGCTTCTCTCCCGTGTGGGTTCGCTGATGTGTGCGCAAACCACTGCTTTGCGAAAACTTCCTGTTGCATACGGCACATTCGAACGGCTTCTCCCCAGTGTGGGTTCTGAGATGAAGTTTTAGATGTGTCGGTTGTACAAATTCCTTTCTGCACACACCGCACTCGAAGGGCCTTTCTCCTGTGTGGGTTCGCTGGTGTGTGCGCAACTGGACGCTTTGCGCGAATTTCTTATTGCACAGGACACACTCGAACGGCTTCTCCCCCGTGTGGGTTCGGAGATGCTCTTTCAGTTTGGATTTTCGACCAAATTTCTTTTTGCACACACCGCACTCGAAGGGCTTTTCTCTAGTGTGGGTGAGGATGTGATTGCGAAGATTCCAACTGGTCTGAAATTTCTTATTGCATACAGAGCATTCGTGTTTATAAAGCTTGTCTCCCGTGTGCACGCGAAGGTGAGTACGCAGATGACCAGGACGCGCAAATTTCTTGTCGCAGACCGTGCATTCGAAGTGCCTTTCCCCTGTATGAGTTAGATGGTGTGAGCGGAGACCCGACTCGTGCCTGAATCTCTTGCCGCACACAGTGCACTTGAAGGGCTTTTCTCCCGTGTGGGTTCGCTGGTGAATGCGCAGGTAGCCAGGCGTCGAGAGCGCCTTGCCGCACACTTCACACTTGGAGTCCGTGTCTCCCGCGTGCACCATCGTGTCGACTACGGACGTTCGTTGCCGTGGCCCTCGTTGGTCCCTGCTGAAAAGAAGAGAGGAATGACCAAGTCTCCATCGCTGTGCTCCGCCATATCGGCGTTGTACGTAATCCTTGAGGCACTTACAGCCGGTCGCGGCGCTGTTCGCGGAGCCGTCCGCCGCCTGTCCTCTGCGTCGCCCGGGTGATCCTGGGGGCCTGATGCCGCACTGCTCCGGTTCGTTCTGACGCGCGGTTCGCGGAGCGAGCTCAGGCACTCGACGCCGCCGCCAGACTGAGTATGGCGCGGTGAGCTTCGCTAACCCGTTAGCCGTACACTGCCGGGCCTGGAGCCTGCGGCCTGGAACAGCCCTGGCTGCCAGCTCGGTCGGACCGGCAGCCGACGGACTCGGTCCTTAATGCCTGACCTTGCGGCCAGAGGCCCTGTTACATTAGTTGGGCGTCCTGACCGGCACATCCCGGGTGTGTGCGACTATCGGACACCGCGCACACCTACACGGTGGAGGAGGGAGAGGGGACCATACGGGTCCCTAGGCTGGGACCCCTCGTCACTCACTGAGATTAGTACACTTAACGGTGCGATTATTTCTTCTTTGTAAAAATGAAAAAGAGTTGTAGGTTTAACGAGAAAATTATCCACGATGTGTTTCGTATCATAAAATTGCGATTCAAAATTATTGCAAAATTAGAGGCATTACTTTGCAGGAACAACAACAGAGAGTAATGCGTAAAAT